TTGCGTAGCATGCATGAAGCACCAGGTTCAATTCCTCAGTACCACATACACAGAAAAAGCCAGAAGTGGCATTGTGGCTCAAGTGTAGAGTGCTAGCCTTGAGCACAGAGAGGCTCAGGGACAAGTTCAAGCCCCAGGACTGGCAAAAAGAAAGAAAGGAAGAAAGAAAAAAGAAAGAGAGAGGGAGGAAGGAAGGAAGGAAGGAAGGAAGGAAGGAAGGAAGGAAGGAAGGAAGGAAGGAAGGAAGGCATTGTATCATTCATAAGGAAATGGAAAAACTTGGGAAAAATTCTAAGAGGGAAGGGTGGGGCAAAGGGGAGAAGGGGAGAAGAATGAAGAGCAGAAGGAAGGAGAACTCAACATGAATTCATTGGGTATACCACAGATTTGAGAAATATAAGGGAAGGGATGGGTCAAAGGGGGATAAAGATATTGAGGTTATAACACAGATCAAGACTCATTTGTATACATAAAATGCTTTTTGCTAAATGGCAAAAAAAATCAATACATAACCTAAAAATTAAGAAGAGTGAGGGAAGGGGTAGGTTGGGAGGGGTAGGTGACAATGTTGAAAGGGGTGACACTGATCAAGATGCCCTGCATTCACAAACTGTTCTGGTGAATGGCATCTCCTTTGTACAACTACTTAAAGATAATTTTTAATAAAGGGGGGGAAGCACAGAAACAGTGGGACAGAGGGTGAACTAATGTATCAGTGATACTCACTAGACACTATATTAGAAATGAACTATACAACTTGAGGGGGAGGAGGGTTGGGTGGGGGAGGACTGGGGGAACTGAGGGAGGGGTAACACTGTTCAGAGACAAGAGGCTTTTCTTTGTTGTTCTTGTTTTTAATGTACTATGTGATTTCTTTATGTGTGCTTTTTTCCTATGGTTTGTCCCCTGTTGTCACTGTATTTGATTTTGGTACCTGGATATTGTATATACATTTATTTGAATTAAGGAAGGGAAGGGGAACAACAAAATAGTGAGACAAAGGACAACTGGCAAACCAATGCAACAGCAATACAATATGTTGGAAATTAACTTTACAACTTGTGGGGGGGTTGGGGGGAGGTTGGAGGAGAGGGAAAGTGGGAAAAAAGAGGGAGGGGGTAACAAGTTCGACATTACCTTAAGTATGTAACTGTAACCCCTCTGTACATCACCTTGACAATGAAATTAAATTTTTAAATGTACTTATCAAGTCATTATGTTGAAAATGAACTTTACAACTTTGGTGGGGGGGGGAGGATGGGAAGGGATGGGAAGGGGAAACAAAGGAGGAGGCTACAATGCTTTGTAAGAAATGTACTCATTATCTTGCCCATGTACTTGTAACCCCTCTATATTTTCACAATAAAAAAAATGTACTCATTACCTGGCTTATGCCACTATAACTCTGCTGTACATCACCTTTACAATTTTAATTTTAAAAAGTCTTTTAAAAAATCCAAAACATGCCCAAAAGAAAAGAAGGTGGAAAAGTTATTAACTTCATCTGAATACCTAACTATCAGCATTATTCGGAAACAGCCTGCTTCCAGAGAGGTAGAAGGACCAGAGAGGTTGAAACTCACCTGTACTACTACCTGGGTGAACACTTCACATTTCACCTTTTAACTCACCAGAATAATCCTTGTTTTGCCAGGCTGCTGTGAAACGCATTATCAATGTTATTAAACAATGTCTTCAAGTCAGTGTCTGTTACTTAATTCCAGCCAACAAAATGAAGGTTCGAATGTCCACCTTCAGAAGGTGTAAGATTTGAGCCAAGTATATGAGATGGCCTTGAGAAAAGTATGTGGCTTCCCACACTGCTGGGCCATACGTAGTCAAGTTCTGGAGCAGGGAGATGGGGATGACTTTCAGGTCCTCTGGATTTTGAGTGTTCAGGTTCTTCAGAGGCGCTCAGGTTTCTAGTCTATGAATCTAGTCTGAACCCCTTTCCACCATCTGAGCAAAAGTGGGAGAGTGCATACTTCAAACTGCCCTCAACTACCAACAGGTAGTTACCAATTTCCAGTACTTACCACCCTCTCCAAGCAATGATTCCATCTCCAGCTCCCTCCTCTGACTCAAGAGAATAAAGAGAAGAAACGTCAGCGACCAGCTCAGCTTCACTATAGTGCAAGACACCTATGAGTTATAGAATGTGATCAGTTTGCCTTACATTTAAATTTTCTTGTTTTGTTTGCTTGCTCAACTAGTACACTACCACTTACACTACACCTCCAGGCCTGGCTTTTTGCTTATTTTGGAGCTAGAAACCCTTCTCCTAGGTTGGCCTAGAACCAAAGTCCTCCCCAACTCTGAGCCTAAAACATCACTAGGTTTACAAGTATTAAGCCACCAATACACAGCTTCAATTTCACTTAAAATTTCTTTTAGGACATGTTGACATTGTCCAGATGACTTTGGAAGAAGCTGCAAATTCTACAATGTACAATGCTTAATGTTCTGAATTCTACAAAATAATTAGAAGACCTTAACAGACTCAAAACCAGTAGGAACAAAAATATGGGAATCCCAGGCTTATAAGAAAAGTTGCCCTGACTTCTTCCCAGATTCAAACACCTGCAAATGTGCAAGCTCAAATAAAATTAAAACAATGAAGTCAAATGAGAAAAAAATTCTAAATAGCAAAACAAGTATGGGGCCAGAGAGTAGAAGGAAGTTCTTTGGACTCCTCCTGTCTCCCAGTAACATAAAAGGGTGCTGTGGAATGAAGATGGCTTCCAAGCAACCCCTTACTATAAAGATGAGAATCTTGACTCTCAGATCTCTGGACTTGGTTCATTTCTCCATGAGTTGTCGGCTTGGATCTTATTTTTGACGTAACCAGCCTATTAAGACAACACTTGAGAGCTAGAACTATGACATATTTGTTTTTCTCATCCCATACCCAGTTAAGCTCACAATATAACAAGTTCTTCCAACTTGAAGAAAATAATGATGATATGGTTGTCCATGTTAAAGTCTTGAACTATTCTCGATAATAAAAGTGCTAGCCCTAGCCCTAGGCAGGAACTTTCTTGGATAGAGGTACTTTTTCTTTAAATAACACTTAACCTTTGAAGCTCTTCTTTGGTTTCAGATAAATCAGTAGTGACAAGAAACTGACATAAATTAGCCAAAGCCACCCAGCCCCTCTTCGGTGACCTAAATACTTTGCTCACTATCATCTCCTAAATTTTCCACCCGGGGCATTTCAACCCACTATTTTTTTAATATGCGATATATGAAGTGAACTTCAAAACTGAGTATACACAGAAATATACACATCTACTTATAACTAATGTTTAGCATATAAATATGCATATTTTGCCAATAAAAGGTCCTTACCCAAGCAGAATTATTCTCAACGTTTGCTCTTTAACCTTTTCTGGTTGTCCTTATTATCTTTGTACTCCCCATCGGGTAACTCCTTATTATAATAGCATTTTGGTTACAGAGGTATTCCACGTAGCCAAAGCCAGAGCTAGAGCACACCTAGGATATGAAGATGCTTCCAAGACTTAGAAAGGAACCCAGCAATAACCCACCAAGTGGAATCTTCCAGTCACTGGAGGAAGCCGGAAAACAGGGTCTGCTCCAGGCCATGCCCTTGACTTGAGCACATGACAGCCTTGGGATGACTTATGATTTTGTACTAGACCACAGCCCTGAGAACTCCAGAAACAAGAAGAAAGTAGGATATCACCTTTCAGGAGATGAATACTAAGTCACTTAATTTTACTCCAGTATTATCTAACAGAGGCCACTCTGCAAAGGACAATTGCAAAATATAAAAGCAATGATGTTTGTCAAAGTTGGAGCATCAATCTGAACTGAGAGCCAAGAACAAATAATCTCATGTCCTGAAAAACTTTTTTACCCTGATTCAATGACGCAAGGGCTTGTTCAGAATTTTTTCTAATTTGATAGAGCTCATAATGCCTTTCATGTTTTCCAAGTTCTATCATTGATAAATGGAGATGGAAAATACCTCATACTTAGACCTTGCTGATGTGATTTAATGGGTATATACAGCATCCTGCCCATGGGCTGGACATGTTACATTCTTATTCAACTTCTTAAACTGTGCCTTATGTCTAGTAGATGTTCACTAGTATCACTAGTGTTCAAATGTCTGTATCATTTGATCAAACATTTTTACTTTGATAAGATGCTTTGTTAGCAAGAAAGGGTGCCAATAACAGGTTCATAATTAGAAACAGCTTTTACAAAATCAAAAGGTTATTTTTTATTAGAACAATGTCACACATTTTAATACACCTTCACCAGAAATGCATACCAAAGATCGATAATAGTCATAAAAAAGAAAAAAGCAAGATGACAGTAGACATGATATATTACACCTCCAAGGAGCTTAGATCCAGACTAACAAGAAATAAACACACCGATATACCTCTCATATGTATGTACAGCTTATATGAGCAACGATCTATAAGACACAGGGGGGAAGAGAGAGAGAGAGAAAAATAGAGAGAGAAATAGAGAGAGAGAGAAATAGAGAGAGAGGGGAACATATATATGTGTAAATGTTTTTCTTAGAAACATAATGGGGTGACCCTTCATTTTATTCAGCTCAAAATAAATGCTTTACCTAAAACTATCAATGCCTAACACAATACATTAGAAAGACTAAGTTTACATTTTCCTAGCAGTTGTCAATTCAAAGTATAACGTGTTCTGCTTTTCTTAAGTGTAGAATCCACACACACACACACACACACACACACACACACGTTGTTACAGCACTGCTGCTGAGTTGCAGCCTGTTACCACAAAGCTCCACACAGCCCTATTTACATTACAGTGGAGGTGGGCGTGAGTGATGACGGGATGATCAGTGCTTCCAAACTCTTCTAATACTTACACATGGGAAGTCTAAAGACCTTAATACACTTAGGACATAAGCCAGGGTTCTCCCCACCGATAAAGTGCTAGCTGCAAAGGCCCCATGGGCAGACTGTCAACGCTGACAACTGCCACACACGGTCTTACTGGACACGGCAGTTCTCGTTGCCTTGGAGCTTGGACTGAGCCTCTGGGATGGGAGCAAGGCAGTCCCACTTGGCTCTCTGGCCCTCTCCAGGACTGTCTTTCAAACTTCTCTCAGGAAGACTGTTGAGTGAGAGACACTTCATGGTGGGTTCTTGAGGGCTGGTGCCTGAATCCCTTGGGTGATGGTGAGCAACCTTCACCTGCAACACATACATCTTTTGTTAGAGGCTTAAATCATATTCACTTCCCCAGCTTGAAAAATGGAGCCCTGTGTGGCGAGGTAAGTTCTTCTGCAGGCATTTATACAACAGCAATTATTTTCTCCTCTGAAAACAAGCCTCACATAACAAAAAATTAGAAGGATGTTGGATATGACACATAAACTGCCAAACTTTCTGACACCACTAATGGCCAGACTTGCTTGCCAGGTAAGTGTGGAAGATACTCTACAAAAAGATTTGTTTTCTTTCCCAGTGCATCCCTGATGCCCACAAAAGGCTTGACTTCATAGTAAGTATTCAAGAGTCCCAAGTAAGCACCAAAAACTTACCTGTACACGTTCTAACCAAAACCTGACTGTCGTTCAGAATGAGTATGAGCCAAATGAGCTATTCTACCTGGGTAGTTTTATTTATAGCATGTACAACTAGGATCTGCTCCTGATATAAAGGTATTTTATGTAATCATTCTCCTTATACTTTCCTTGTTGTATTCATGTCCCATTTAGACCAGAGTAGAAGGGTAGCTATCTAATGATAAAGTTCAGCAGGCATCCCCTCTTTGATGTCCTATTTTTTAGGAGAAAGGAGTTACCTCAGAAAATATGAAACTTTAAGAAACTGACGAGAGGGTAGGGTAGAGTATGAGTCAAGATCAACTGAAATTCTAAAGCAGTGAAAAAAGATAGAAAAGGGAACAAAAAGGAAAGAATTCAGGTGTAATGGCACACACATTAGTCCCAGACACTTAGAAGGATGAGGCGGAAGGAGCTCTTGAGCCCACGAGTCCCCAGGAGTCCAACATCAGCCTGGGCAAGACGTCTCAGAAAATTAATATGCAAATAAAGCGAAAAGAAAAGCAAGAAGGCTCTTAACAAGGACAGGTAGATAGATGTTTGGTGTAAATGTCAGATCAGAAAGTGACCAAAGCTACCTGACAAAATGACTTCCAGAGAATTCTTTTGAAACAAAAAGGAAAGAATAGAAATCTTTTTTACATTTATATTCTTTACACAGGACTGCTGTGGCTTTACAAGGAAGTTAAATACTTTTCATTACAGAAAACCTATTGAATCTGGCTAACAGACCACTTCCCAGGAAAGCTTGCTTCTGTTTCAGGTCATGTGTAGCAAAGAAAAATGAATAGCCTTGAAAGACCAAGAGCTAGTAGAAAATGACTGCCATGGGAAGCTGAAGGAAACTTGTTCAATAGTTTTCACTATCTTTTTTTCCTTTTTTTGAGAAAGTGATACCAAAGACAAATGTTTCCTTTTACCCATCAAATGCAAGCATGCCAAATGTCATGTCTTTAGGGAGAGAAGGGAGAAGGAGAGGAGAAAGGAAGAGAGAGGCAGAAGGAGAGAGGAAAAAAAAGAGAGAAGGAGGGAAAGAAAGGATGAGAGGGAAGGGTAGGAAAAAAGTGAGGGAGAGGGAAAGGGAGAGCAAGGAAGACAGAAGGCAGGAGGGGGAGGAACAAGATAGAGAGCTTACAAGTACTGCATCCAAAACTCATCCATGAAGACTTAATTCCAATTAAATGCCTAAAGTATATTCACTCCTCAGCTTCTCCTTCAAGACTCAATTTCTCTGGTTACAAAATTGAGGAAATTGTACTCTGTGATCGAAACTTAAGGTATAGATCATCAGTCCATAACCACATGAGGTCAAATGCACCAAATCACGGTATTTAATCAGCAGGATAGGCCATTCACATCAGTCCTACTAATGATGCCTATGGTCATGATAGGGAGAAGGAAGAAAGTAGGGGGAGATGGTAAGGAGATCAGTGAAAACACCACTGGCAGAAAAAAAAAAAAATGCAGTGCTGACTGATGCTATATTGACATCACCATGGCCATTCCTGATGGGTTTTACTCTTGAGTAGCTAGTTCTCTGATACTGTCACCAAGCCCATGTCCAGAAGATCAAGTGCATAATTACCTGGTCTCTTATCCTCAGCAAATGAGGGGCTCTTGGGCTGCTTCTCACAGTGGCATCATAAACAGAGAAGAGCCCCTTTCCTAGTCATTCCTTTGAAGTCTTCAGATGTCAATGAAGTAACCTAAGAACTCTCAAAACTCAGCCAGGCACTTTAAGAGGTAGCTTGCCATCCTAAGGGTCAAAGCTGCTGCTTCAGAAAATAACCATCTTGCTCTACAGTACTACATGATGAAACATGCTTAACAGATGAGGCAAACATTTCACAGGGCAAACCCAGAAAATGCTGAGTTATACTGAAAATTATGAGGCTAGGTTTGAACAGTTTGCATCTAATCATAAAGTCCCCTATACCTCTACCTCAAGAGGACCCCCACCATTTTGTTCCAAGCCCACAAAACTGCTCAGCAATCCACACTGCCTGTGCTTCCTGGACCACATGGAGCTAATGCAAAGAATGCACATCTGCAGGAAACCATGGTTACTGCTCTGCGCCAGCAGTGTGGAAAGCAAGCCCCCTAGTGTGCGCAGCTCTTTTTTCTAGACAATAAACCTGAACACAAACTGCTTTTACCATCATTCCTCATCAAAGAAGCAAAAAAACCATGATCCAAGCATTACTACGATCACTTTAAGACGGTGTCCACAGCTCCATTCACACCACAAGTATTTGCTAAGTGTCAGACTTCATTAGACAATGAAAACACAGGTGAGCCACACACTTAAACCAGCTGCCTACTCATTCTACAAATCGTGAGATATTCAAACAAGTAATAACAAGAGGCCTGCCTTGAGATTACTGAAAGGTATGGTTTCTGTTTCAAGAAGCCCATGCTTCATTTGTGCTCTCTGTGTGTCAGACAGAGGAGAATGGATAAGAGCCTTTACTAAGGGTGGCTCCCAGTCAATCACAGGAGATGGCACACACTATATCTGGAACCTAAATATGACTGCTCAGGCTTGCTGGCCCAGTGGCTACTACCCTGTGGCTAAATCCTTGGTGAAGCTTCATAATTTCACACCGTGTGGGTAATTGGCTTGGTTAAAAAGGTACTTTTTTTTTCTTCTTTCTTCTTTGAGCAGTACTAGGGTTTGGAATCCAGGGTCTTAGCTGTACCCTATGCCCTAGGTAGAAGATTTTCTTATTATCGTTGAAAAGCCAGGGCCCAAATGATGAACCTATTAGTCAATACTGTCACTTTTACCACATCTAAAAGTTAAATTAAGATGATAGAGGAGGAGGAGTAGAAAGAGGAGGAGGAAAAGGTAGTAGAAAAGAGAGGAAAGGAGAGGAAGAGGGAAAGAGAGAGAGAGATGAATTAATCCTTGTGAAGAGAGAAGAAAGTGTGCACAAAAAGGATTATGTCTCGTATAAGAAATGGACTGCTTCCTTTCAATGAATCAAAGAAAATTTTAAGACCCTTCCTCACCTTTGAACTAACTTTATTATAAATTATAAACTTATTACTAGGTATAATTTGCACATAGCTCTTATACATGAATAAGATCAAGCTAATTTGCATATATGTCCCTGTTTTAATGCAGCCAAAGGATTTTTGGCCTCTGAAATCCTACTGAGGAGCATCCTTGCTCACTTAGGAATTATTACATTAAACAAGCCAGGCTGCAGGAGCTCATATCCATTGTCCTAGCTACTCAACAGACTGAGATCTGAGGACCAAGGTTAGAAGCCAATCTGGGCAGAAAAATCTGTGACTCCTATCTCCACTTACCAGTAAAAGGCCAGAACTGGCTCAAGTAAGCAAAAAAAGCAGAGCAAGAACACAAGGTCTTGGGTTCAAGCTCCAGTACTGGCACAAAAATAAAATAAAATAAAATAAAATTACATTAAACAAGCTTCTTGTTCTAGCTCACGACTATCAGGGAACAGAGTAATATCACAGAAATTCAAAACTTCTTCAAACTACTCTAGCAATTTCCAACAGTATTCCCAGGGTCCCATTTGGAGAACGCTGGCATTGTGGCAAGAATGACCAGTGTGGAATTAGATGGGAGACTGGAGGGGGAAACCATGGGAGGTAGAATATGAGTCTCTATTCTTTTATAATATCACTTGCTATATGAAAGCAATACAATAAGGAAATAAACCTGGAGTTAAATAGCATGCATATGCTCTGCATATGGATTGCAATTGCTGCTGGTTTAGCCTTGAGCATTTCTAATGATAAAGATCTCTATGCTTTCTTTAAATCACGTTTTCTGGACTACTATAAGGAGCATAGTGGCAGTGAAGATCCTGCCCCACCCTTAACAATCCCAACGGGAGTATCCATAATCAGAGTACCTCTTTAGCTATCTAATGAAACAGTACTTTACAAAGAAAGGGATGAATGAAGGCCATATAGAATCTGGAGCTGGGAGATGAGAATGAAAAATTTAAAAACAAGTAATTATAGCAAATGCCCATGGCCACAAGCAAAAACACTTTTTGGAATTCTTCAACAGTCAAGCTTGAAACTTCCTTACAAATCCACTGTTTTACCTTTCATCTTATTTGTTTTTACAGAATAATGTCATTTACTAGCAGATTATTTAAAAGTGACCTGTTGTTGGAAGAGGAGATCGAGCCACAGGACCCTGCATGCTCATCTTCCAGCTTGCTCACTCTTTGTCATTAGGAAGGTCAGGCTTGATAAGGGCCTCTTGAGTGGAGTGACATGGCGCAGTGTCCAACACTATCCCCAACAACGCTGTGATTTCTGGGATCTCAGAGAGAAACTGGCTGTTGACAGTTTTACCTTTTGTGATTTGCTGCCACCAGCTGTTGGTTTGAAGGACTCCACAGGATTCTCTTTGCCCAGACTTAGTGGGGACAGGGCTAACCTCTGCGCAGCAAGGCGGGGGCTGGTCCTTGTGGCCATGGTTGTTCTCCGCAAGACATAGGGGCTGGTCTTGCCTGTTGGGATGTCAGCAAACCCTAAGGGCAAAAAAGCTCACTGTTCACTTCCATACACAAGGGAAAATCATCAAGTTTTCTGCTGCTTCTATGTGGATGTTTAAAAGCTGATAAGAAAGACACCAGCAGGCCTGAGGATAACATTAGAACTTAACTTCCTTCCCAAGAAGGAACCAGCCTCATGAGAACAGGCCAGTCACAAGGATACTGGAAGACAGCATGGCACTACACTCTTCACAGCATCATGGCTAACCAAAGGTAAGCCCTTAAGGCTTCACTGATAATTCACTCATCAGAAAGAGACAGCATACAGTTTGAGAGTTATGGTTACTAAAAACAGTGTTTCATAAACCATCTACAGCAAAAATTTTGCAATCTGCTGTAGAATGATATTTAAAGTAAGATTGGATCACTAGGAAGAAAACAAAGAAACAAGTCAGCCTGTGTGCCCAGAGGATGCAACAAGACCAAACTGCTATAAAATTTTCTAAACTCTCAGTATCTCAATTTCTGACTATTTTAATCATGAATCAGTAATAAGCAATATAAAGACTAGCCTTGGAGCCCTGGGTCACACTTAAGAGTTAACACTGAGGTTTATAAAACAAAACAAAAACAACAAACAAACATATTCAGAGGCTCTGATCTGGTGATTGGAGAGAAACGGATAACATACAAGTTACCAGGCCCATTGTCCAGCTTGTCTGACATTAGTGTCAGACACAACTCAAAAAAAGAAGTGTGGGTGGCTCATACCTCAAATGCTAGTACTCAGGAGCCTGAGACTTGGAGGATCACACAGTTCAAAGGCTAGCCAGTGCGGAAAAGTTCACTATACCCCATCTCCAAAATAACTGGCCAAAAGCAAGGCTAGAGGATTGGCTCAAGTGGTAGACTGCCAGCCTACCAAGTATGAGGCCTTGAGTTTAAACGTCAAAAAATAATAATAAACCTGAAGTCTTTGATTCAAGAGATTTTTTTTTTGATTCAGAGATTTTTTTTCAGCAAAAAAAATACCCAATTCCAAACAAGTGTTCATAAGTCATTTTTAAAATTTACAGCTCTTTTTGTAGTTTGTCATGAGTAATTAATCCTACTCTCTCAAAACCTTACCAATTTTAAAATTGTTTAATACAGTTTCTGTTTTAAAGAAATGCAGAAGGCCAGTTAGGACTATAACATAATAATCTAAAAACATAAACAAAGTAAAAATGCTTCTGTCTTTTCATATGTGAGTTTTAATATGGAATTTCCAATATCACAGGCAATTTGGCTTTGATGATGGGGATTGAAACCTAGAATCTAAGCTATATCTTCCACCCCATAATTTCATTTTAAATTATGCATACCTTTCTTTACAACTTCTGGAAGTCCTTCTGGCTCAAATGCATCTTCATCCTCAGCAGAGCAAATTCCACCTTTGACCGATTTCCTACTTTTTTTACAAAATGTCTCTGGGGTGGAAGGGACTGATTCTTCACCGTTCTCCAAAATCCCACTTGACCTTTGCCTCTTGCCAGAAGCTTTGCTTTGACTGCCTGATAACTTCTTCTCCATAACAGCAGGGACTGGAGATGGACCCTGGACAGCTGCATTGAGTAAAGGAGAGCTGCGGAGATTATGTCTAGATTGTTTTGAATGCAGAAAAGCAACCTGTGTTTCTAACATTTCTTTTTCGTTCTCTAACTTTTCATGGCTTATAAGCAGGGAACAGTACTTCTCCAGATATTCTTCTGCCTCCTTGGTTTTGTCATCAAGTGTTTCTTTCAGCTCTTTGATCTCAGTCATTAATTCACCTACATTAGCATCCACAGAAGTACCTGCCAAAATAAAATGACCCACAATCACTTGATTCTGCTCCAGTGAACTCAGGGCATTGCAAAGCAAATAATCTTGGAACTTTCCTTTAAATTTCATAGAAGGGCTAAGAATATGTTTACCAGCTTAACATTCTTTAGTTCATTACCTCTTGTTAAGGAGTAATGACATGGTACATACTCTAGTAGATTAAATGCTTTTATTGGAATGGCTTAAATATAAAAACCAACAAAACTCTCTCAACCAACTCATTAAACTTCCTTGTAGAGCTAGTTGAATGGAATCAAATGAATTAATTTCACATAGCCTCCTTCCCCTTTCCATTATTTCCAACGTAAGTGAATGAACAATAGAATTCCTTTAAGCAGTTTCTGTTGCATGGCTTTGAGATAGGTGAAACCAAATGAAGGAGCTAATGGGGAAGGATTTAGGGAACCTATATAAAGGTAGGAACCACAGTTAGAGTTTCCATGCATGGCATTCAATCCAATAGCAAAACTCCCTGGTACTTCAAGCTTACTCCAAGTGCTCAACCCAGCAAGGAAAACCGTCAACCTGCCCTGCCAAGCTCCATCTCACACTATGCCATCATCTAGGCACATAACAAGCACATCTCAACTGGAGCATTAAGCACAGAAAAGTGACAAAGAATTCATCATCCCCTTACTTTTCATTCTTTCTACATACCCAAGAGGTAGCTCCCTATATTTTCATTTTAGTTGACCTAAGAGACTGGGCCTAGGTCAACCAGAATCAGCTACTTAAAATTACCAAGGACAATGTAGAAATGCAGATGCTCTCTGGTCTTTGAGGAATGTGTTTAAATGCACATTAATGAAGTTCTTAGAAAAGTACCATCAGGAGATATTTTTTTTTACATATATTATATAAGAGACGATGAAAAGAACTTTATTTCAAAATGCAGGCTGCATTCTGAATACTACAACAACGACCCCAAAATCATGACAAAATGCAGAAATTTGAAAACAAGTAACAGTTGGAAATCAGCACTCCAAATAGAACATTAAACAACAATAACAACCACCACCAACCTCTCCTGGGTGCCCAGCCTAAGTGAGCACTTCACTACAGGAGGATGTGCCTCCAGCAAACACCCACCTGTTTTCTGCTTCTGCGCAGCCTCAAGCTGAGAGACCTCCTTCTGCAAGGTTTTCTTTTCTTCTTCCAGCAGCTTACAGGATTTCAGCAACAACTTTATTTTCCCCTGAGCACGGTCCCGCTCCTTCTTCAGCTGATTTACATATTCAAGATGGTCCAGCTATAAAACAGAAGTAATTCCATTTAAAACCTTAAAGATTATTTCTTTTTGTTAAGCATATGGAAAAACAATTTTGAGACACAGTGAAGAATCTCATATTGTAAATTTAGGAGTTATGTTCAAAACAGAACATTAGAACAATGCTCCCTCTCCACCCAGTTTCCTAAGTCTTCCCAACAGACCACATGGTTTTGCCAATATCTTTTTTTGTGCAGAGCTGTGTTTGAACCCAGGGCCTCACACTGGCTAGCCAGGCCCGTTAGCATTTATTTGAGCTATACTTTTAGACTTTTGTTTTTACTTTCTTTTTGAGACAGGGTCTCAATAACTTTGCCCAGGCCGGCTTTGAACTCAAGATTCTCCTGCCTCTGCAGGAAATGGAATTACAGTCTTGAGCCACCACACCCATTCACTTGGTTAGCATTATATGCACATAGCTCCTAACAAGGTGTCTTGTGGCACCTTTGAAGCTCTTGATAGTGTGAGATGGCAGAGATTACTACAAATCTGAACATGATATAAGCTTGTGTTATTTTCAAAAGCCAATAAACCAGTCTGATACAAAAACCATAAGGTGTGTGTATAACAAATTATCAGAGCAATGATAATTATTGCTATGAAATGACAGTTCATGGACACTGATAATAACAGAGTAATAAATCTGTCAGGGGCAACTTACTTTGCTGCTCTGTAATTCTTCTGAGAGCACTTTTAATTCTTCAGTTAGCCTCTTTTTCTCACTACTCAGTTCTTCTTTCAACTCAGTTGTTTTCTGGACCATCTCCTGCATTTCCCTCTGCAGTTCAGTTTCCTTTACAGCCATTGTGTTAACCTGAAATTTAACCTTTATTAGCATCTGTTTTGGATGGCTTACTGTATTCAAATTATCTACTCCAACCCAACATCTTCATGACATTAACTTTAGCATCCAATAATAAAATGGAACCTAAATAATTCACTATAGAGTGAATAGTATCCCCAGAACCTACTAGTAAGCTTGCTTTCTCTTCTCAGCAAAATTTTAACAAAAAAAGAGGTATGAAGAAAATCAAAGATAAATAGTGTTAAATCTTAAAATCTTTTAGAAAGGTCTTTTGAATTAACATCAGAGACAATTCTGTGCCAAATGGTTTAGGATTTTATCAGTTTTTGGATCTTTAGTAATCCCCACAGGCCATCCTAATCTGCAAGAACATGCTACAATTAGTTAAAAACCAGTGAATGACCTACTATTTGCACATGCTCCCAAAAGATGATGCAGCATAGGTGTCTATGTTATCTCACCTCTTGCAAGATGTCCATAAACCTAAAAAAAAAATCTTAGAAAATACAACCTTCTGATGGACTGCATTTTCAAGACTCTTTTGTTTAATCTGTTCAGTAAATACAGAAATCCCTTTCCTAGATCACTAAGTAAACAGAGTGGGCCACAATGTAATGTCTTCTCTAATATTGTGCCTTTTGATGGCAGATTGTCCCTTAAATCATCAGCTAGCAAAACAAGAGAAGAAGGAAGCTCAAAGTAGAAGCCCCCAAGATGCCCAGGGGCATGAGTGCTCTATAAATATGTCTGTATCTTTACAAGTTCTTTCTCCTAAAGATGACAAGGGCAGGGTAAGTCAGGGGATCTCTTCTGATCCTACCTAGTATCTGTTAAGATTGTGGCAAGCAGTGCTTCTCAACTGGTATGCAGCAGTTCCACTCTGATATACTATAAAGGAACCATAATGACCAGGAAGCTTGGTTCCTATATGGAACTTCTCCTATGTGGAGCTGTCACATTACTAACTTAATCCAAACAATAAAAATGTCTCACAGGAAAGTATCAAAGCCATCACTAATGTCTGGGCCAACATATGTTCCAGACTAGATCAGTAGCTTATAACTGTAATCCAAACTAATCGTCAGGGAGAGATGGCGTGAGGACAACTCTGGAGCAAAAAGTTAGTGAAACCTTGTTTCAAGCAACAAACTAGGCATAGGCACATGTACCATGGTTACTATGTAGGAAAGTGGTAGGTAGGAATCTCAAGGTCCAGAAGCCTACCCCATACAAAAACAAAGACTTTTTTTTTTTTTTTGGCCAGTAGTGGGGCTTGAACTCAGGGCCTGGGCACCATCCCTGAACTTCTTGGTGCTCAAGGCTAGTATTCTATCACTTAAGCCACAGCGCCACTTCCAGTCTTTTCTGGGTAGTTAATTGGAGATGAGAGCCTCAAAGACTTTTCTACCTAGGCTGGCTTCAAACTGCAATCCTCAGATTTAAGCCTCCTGAGAAGATAAGAATTACAGGCACCTGGCTCCAAGATCTCACCTGAAAAATAAAGTAAAAAAAAAGGACTGGGTTTGCGGTTCAAGTGGCAGAGCACCTTTCCAGAGAGCAGCAGACACTGTCTGGGAAGAATTACAATTCATAAAGCGATGTCCTCCACATCTGACATATGTAAATGCAAACACAGAAAGACACTTACTTGTTCAACCAAGGCTATTTTGTCCATTTTCATCGATTCGAGTTCATTCTCTAGATCCTTGTAGGAATTCTGCAGTGAACTGAAGGAGTCCTGCAAAGTGTCATTTTTGGATTGGAGCCCTTGGACCTTCTGCTCCAGTGCCATGGTCAGACTTCCCAGGTCTAGCTTCTGCTTCTGCCAAAGTCTTTGCTCTTCCTCCACCTGGGATAGTTTAGAGATCAGCTGCTCCTGGGCACAAAATTGGTCTTTTAGCCTCCTGACCTCTTCCTCCTCCTTCTCTAGTTTCTGTTTGCCATCTTCTACCTCTTGAATGAGGCCATTCACAGAAGACTGCAAAGTCATACACTTATTTTTGGCTTCATCAAGGTCCCGTAGCAACTGTGTCTTCTCAAGTTCAAGAGAATCGAGTTGAGCACTCAGATTCTGTTCTTTAGCCTTATATGTGGCTTGATCATTGCACAAAGCTACCATTTTCTCATTGAGCTCTACCAATTGCATTTGAAGTCTCTCAGCATTTTCTTTCATCTGAACTTTTTCTTGCTCTTTGTCCTGCAAAAGGTTTTCAAAGGAAGAACTCAGTGTTTCTAATTCAGATACTCGCTCTTGCTCTTTCTCTAATTCTTTGGTGAGCTTTTCTTTCTCAGATTTCGCATTAAGAATCTCTAATTCCAAAGCTTGCAGGGTTTGGGCCCTCTGTTGTATTTCTGCTTTCAGAGTCTCTACCTCTGCTTTGGAATTCTCAGCCTCAATAATCGCATGCTCTTGTTTTTTTGCGGCTAACTCCAGTTCTCTTTCAAGGTTCCCAACTCTATCTTGAAGCAGATCTACATGATGCTGATTTCCCTTAAGTTGTTCTAAGACGTGGTCTTGTTTATTTTTATCAGCTTCTATGCGCGCTTTCAGCTTTTCAATGCTACTTCTCAGCTGAGGCATTTCCTCCCCTTGCAGGTCTAAACTTTGCTCCATGTTCTTCCCCATTTCTTGGTCATCACACAAGGCTGCTACTTCCTCGGCGAACTCTTTCAATTGTGTTTGAAGCATCTCCACTTCAGCTTTAGATTCTTCTTTCATCTGTATTCTTGCCTGCTCCTTTTCTTCCAAAAGACCTTTAAATGAAGCAAGCAATCCATCTAGTTCTGCCACTTGATTGTGCTTCTCTTGCAGCTGCTTTGTAAGATTGTCTTTCTCTGACTTAACTTTGACAAGGTCTACTTCAAAAACTCTTAGGCTTTCAGTCATTGCTTCTATTTGTGCTTTTAGAGTCTCCATCTCTGCTTTGGCATTCTCAGCATCAAGAATCACCAGCTCTTGGTTTTCTTCTGACATCTGCAATTCCTTCTCCAGGTTCTCCACTTTGTCCTTCAGTGAATCATTTTCTCGATGACTGGCTTTCAGCTCCTCTGTCACCTGGAGGTGCTTCTTTTCATCATCTTCAATGCGGACCCTCAGTTTCTCAATGCCTCTTCTGAGCTGATGAATCTCCTCCTGGGTTGAGCCCAATCTCACTGCAAACTCTCCTTTCTCCATCAGTGCCACCTCTAAGGCCTTGGAGGTGGTTAGCTTTTCACATTCTGACTCACTCAGTCTTGCCTTCAGGCTTTCTGATTCCCTGGTGAGTGATTCCTTCTCTTGATTCAGTTGTCTGATTTGGCTCTCCAGCTCACAAGCTGCCAATGACAATGTTTCTGAGGCCTTCTGCCCACTCTGCAGCTGCTCCTGGAGATGAGCTTTGTCTTCTGACAGTTTGCTTACCTCAGAGGACAGAGTCTGAAGGAGTTCTGTCTTGTTCTTGACCTCGGCCTCCATCACCTGAATGTGATGGAGACTCTCAGCTTGAAGAGACTCCAGCTCTTGTATTTTCTCCTTCATCTTTTCAGATACCTGATCCAGTGCTTCATGTTCTTTGGATGTGCTATCTAATGCTTCATGAAGCCGGTTTCTCTCACTTGTGATGGCAGACAGTTCTTCTTCAAGACTAGTGATAACTTTCTGCTTATTTTCATTATCTTTTTCTAAACACAGCTTCTCTGCTTGAACTCTGTCTAAGTCAGCTTCCACACAGATTGCATGATGTTCAACAGTAGCTTTCTCAGACTTGATCTTGTTCAGCTCATCCTCCAAATCAACAAATCTATCCCTCCAACTACCATTTTCCTTGGCTGCAATGTCTTTCATATTTTCATAAGACAATTCATCTGAGCCCATTTCTACATTAGAACCAAGAACTTCTGAACTTTCTAGTCTCTGGCAGAGTGCCTGGTTATCATAGGGGAAGGATTCCACTTTTTCATCTAAACTAGATTTTTGTTTCGTGAGTTCTTCCACTAATTTTTCCAGTTGTATGCATGTTTCAATCTTGGACTTTAGTTGTCCTTCTTGTAAATCAAGTTTGGAGTCTAATTCTTTTATTTCACTCAGCAAACTTTCAACTTTTTTGTCCCGGTCCTCTATTGTATGAAGTAATCTCAAATTCTCATTTGATGTTTCTTTGACCTGTAGTTGGAGATTCTCAATGAATACCTGATTCTCCAGAAAATCCATGGGTACCAAAGCATTTGGAGCAGAAAATGAAAACTCAGAACTGCATTCTGAATGGCACTGAGTTTTGTCTTCCGCTACAGTCCCGTAAGTCATCTTTGAGGACTGCTCACCAGAACACTCTCCAGTAAGGTGGACTACATCAGTCTCAATGATTTGTCCAGTCTCTAGACTAAAGGATTGTTGATCTTTATCACAAATCTGATCAGTGTCCTCTTTTGGTATTGTTTCTGTAGTTTCTGAAGTACTTCCTTCTGATTCTATTATGTCACAGTTACCGTGTTGGCCCCGAATAGCCTATAACCATAGTATATAACAAGAATACATTATTTTGTGTTTCAGGAACAATCAAAAGAGAATCAATACCCTTATTACTTTATAGAAAATGGCACCTGGCCTCTGCAATGCACAGCTGTCTAAATGATTTATTTTCTACCGCGTCCTCTAGCCTTCTCTCTCTGATCAAATACTTAACATAAACATTCTCTAAGTCCCACCTATATGCAAAGCACCAAGCAAGGTCATAACCTGAGTTATTTTATCAACTAGGTCTTAACACTGAAATTTCATCTTTGTATTTACTTGCTACAAATATTCTAGATAGTTCTGAATACAAAATTTATTATCTCCAAATAAGAGGCTAACAAATTCCATATAAAATGTTCAGCTTTCATCTTTAATATTTATGACTTTTTGGCGGTATAGGGAGTCAGTCATGGGGCTTGAATTCAGAGCCTAGGCACTGTCTCTGAACTCTTTTGCTCAAGGCTCTAACACTTGGAGCCACAACACCACTTTTGGTTTTTGAGTGGTTAATTGGAGATAAGTCTCATGGGTACTTTTCTACCCAGGCAGGCTTTGAACCATGATCCTCAGATCTCAGCTTCCTGAGTAGCTAGGATTACAGCACTCAGCTTACTAATGATATTTTTAAATAGGAAAAGACAGTGAGATTTCATGCATGACCAGATCTGAAGCCCAATTACTTCATACTGGCCCAGTATTTACTTGACTATTCTTGGATAAGTTCTATCAGGGTGCCTTACTTTCCTCTCATCTATAAAATGGGGAGCTGTTCTTCTCACCATGCTTACTGTTATGTCATAATTCATACCCCCTCAATCTTAGAGAGGTAGACAAAATAAGAGTCAATATTGAACATTATTAGTTATACCAGTCAACTAGAAAAGACAAGGTCATAAAGTTAATAAAAAAGTATGTACTAGGTAATTTTTTTTAAATGACTGACACCAAATCACAGATTTATACTATTTAAAAATGGTCTGAAACATGCAAGAGGTTAAAAATGCTTTATCACCGTTTACATCATTGTTTAAGTAAGTCTTATTAACTTACAATGAAAACACAAATTCTAAAGATTTGACTCCATGATTATTTTTTCCAGACCTGAGATGCATCTTTAGTAATTTTCCAGAAAGTGTTTCAATCATTAGAGAAATGTATTTCTTAACATCTACTCATTCTGATTGCTTGAAGAAATGTTTGTCTTTTTATTTCCTTGACTCCCCTGCCCCCTCACAATATTCTAATTTTGAATTCAATCTGACATACATCTATTAAAACCCTAGTAGTCCTACAGAGAAAAGGCATGCAAGGGGTTGGGAAGGTGGCTCAGCGATAGAGTGCTTGTCTCACATGCATGAGGCCCTGAGTTTGATCCCTTAGCACCACATAAACAGGAAGGCCATTAGTGGCACTGTGGCTCAAGTAGTAGAACACTAGCCTTGAGCTGAAGAGCTCAGGGACAGCACCCAGGCCCAGAGTTCAAACCCCACAACCGACAAAAAAGAAAAAGAAAAAAAGCCATACAAATCTAGATACGTACATCGTCTACATCGGTACCAAGGAAAGACCGAGAGCTCAAGTCCAGGCCTTGCAGCTGGAGTCGTGCTACTTCAAGTTCATGGGATAGGTGTTCTGTCTGTTTCTTTTCTGCTGCCAACCTGGACTCCATCTCCAGAGTTACACTTGTCAGCTTCTGTTGCCACTGCTCGTTTTCTGACAAACACTGTTTCCTAAGGCATTCAAGCTCATTCCTTTCAGAACTTAGTAACTGTTCAAGCTCTTCAATCTCCTTATTTTTCATGCTGCCCTGACTTTCCATTTTCTGTTCCAGGTTCTTGAGAGACTGCAAGTATAGCTGACAGAGCGCCTCGAGTTCTTCAACACTCTTCGTGGGGGCAGAGGGAATTTCCTTCTCCGTCAGACTCTCCTCCCTTAGACTAGTACATGACACTTCATCTACGGTAGACTGGTCTGCACAAACATTCTCTTCTAAATTACACAGAAGAGAAATGTCTCCCGTCTGATCTAAAGCATCTTTGTAAAAAGAAGATTCTCCAGAGTTTGCCAGCCTCGGGGTAGAGAATGACAGAGATGGAATATGCCCCTCCTCTGGTCCCGGCTGTACCACGTCACTCTGCAAATTTTTCAGATTCAGTGACAAAGCTGAGTTTTCAGCCTTCAATGTATCAACATAGGACTGTAGCTCTAACATCTTGGAGCTTATCTGACAGTGCTGATCTTGTAAGATCTTGTGTTCACTTTGTAAACATGAGAACTTCTCCTGTAATTCAGCAAAGTGCTCTTGAACTTCTTTGTGTGACAAGGTCAACTGCTCAGACAAATTACTATCTTCTGGAGGGGTCAAGAACTCACATGTCTGCCCATCATGCTGACTGCTAAACTCACCACCTGACCCTTCTTCCACTAACTCACTTTGAAGGTGGCCATTTTCATCATTTAATACCTTCACTTCATTTACTAGTTTCTCTACCTCTTTTGCCATCTTACTAGTCGCTGTGATACACTCTGATCTTGAATCGTTCAGCTCAGATGCAAGTTCTATCTTTTCAACTTGCAGAATCTCACACATTCTTTCTAGCTCACTCAGCTTATTCATTGCTGCCTGTAGAGAACACTGTAGGTTAGCATTGTCACTTTGACTTGTTGACAAGTCTTGAAGCACTGAAAAGTATTTTATTTCTGCATCTACTACTTCACCATCTTTAAGGACACTTGTGTCCTGCAACTGACTGCCTTCCAAGTCTCTAGTTCCTAGTTCTCTTCTAATTGACTGTAATTCCTGCTGTAGGCTTTCTTTCTCCTTCTTGCTTTCCTTGAGCTTTAATTCCATATTTCTAAGCAAAGCTTCTAAGTCAACCAACTGGGCATCATAACTGTCTGGAGAGATGTCTTTAACATCCAAATCCATCTGATACTGGGGACTGCTTTTATCCATCTCATTCTGTGCGTCTTCTACAGAGTCCCTAATTGGTTCTAATTCTAAAAGCTGATGTTCACGTTTACTAGCTGTTAACTGCATTAGTCGTTCATTCTCTTGTAATAAGTCACTAACTTCCTGTTGCATCTTATTTTGTTCTGTCTTTAATGTGATGATTTCTTGCTTTAAGCTATCAGCCTCATTCTTGGAGCTATTTTTGATGTCTGTAATCTCCAATTTCAGAGCTTGCTGAACAGTCCCCAACTCTAATATTAGTTTCTCATTTCTTTCCTCAGAGAAAGCTAATTTTGTGACAAATTCTTGGTGTTCTTTTGCAAATGTTTCCTTCAGCTGTTCCAATTCATTTTTTCTATTTTCACAAATACTTGTGGATTCATTTAGCAAGCATTCCAATGTAGAGTTCTTCTCCTTTGCTGCTTGGTATTTTTCATTAAGATCCTCTAAGGTATGACCCATTTCTTCCCATCTCTGTAGTAAAAGAAGTCTTTCTTGCTCATACTGATTAGATAATTCTGAAATGCTTTTCTCTCGTTCCTTTATACAGTTTGAGAAATCCTCACTCTTTTGGAGTAAGTTCATTCTATCTTGACTTAAGGCTTCATTCATTTCTTTAAGAGTACCATTCTCTCGGGCCAGCTCTTCGATTTCTTTTTTACTTAGCGAAATGATGGAACTCATTTCCTTTTTCTCTGAGTTCAGGGTTTCAGATAAAAGTTGTAGCTCTTTCAAAGAGTCTTCAAGTAAATGGTTGCTTTTCTTTAATTCCCGAGTCTCTGCTTGCTCAGCTTCTAATTTTTCTTTCAGCAGTTGCAATTCTTTTTCCTTGTTCTCAAAGGCAACTAAAGTTTCAGTGACAGCATTCTGATGAACGGAAGCATCTTCCTGCAACTTAGTAATACGCTGACTTGTTTCAGCCACAAAGCTCTCGTGCATGTGTTCTGCTTTAGTGAGATTTTCTTCTATTTCTCCTTTGATTTGAACCAACTCTTCACACTGCTTTTGCAGATCTGAGTTCATCTGTTTTTGAGACTCTAAAGAAAACTCAAGAGAATCAACTCTATTTTGTAAGGCAGCTGAATTTTTGGGACTCTGGTCTAAAGCAATGTGGCATTCACTCCTTTCTGAAAACGTGCTTCTTTGTTCTCCCATTTGATTTACAAAGGAGTTATTCATCAGAGGCTGCTGCCCCAGTGCCAAGCACCTTCTCTGCAGGTCCTCATTTGTCTCTACAGAGGAATCTCTGGATGTGAGCAGACCCGTGAGGCTCTCATATTCAGCACGCAAGTCCAAGTAATGTTGGTCCTTGGTCACTATTTCACTTGACAGGAACTGAAGCTTCTGTTCTAGACCTTCAATTTGTTCAGTAAGCTGACAAATTTTCAGACACATATTTTCTATTTCCTTCTGGTGTTTCTGATCTGAGAACTCAGCTTTCTGCTGCAGATCTATGTATGCTTGTTTCTGAGTCTCTACCTCTGCCGTCTTGCTATCCAGAATATTGTGAAGGTTTCTGATCTCCACACTTAGGTTGTCTCTTTCCATTTCTAGTGTTTTAACTCTCTCATTGTATTCATGGCTTTTTATTTGTTGTGTCTTGAGGCAGGTTTCCAGGTGATTAACTTTACTCTGTAAATTTTCTTTTTCAGATTCCATCTGACTGATAAGTTTTTCACTTTCACTTTTCCAATGAGAATATTGAGTTTTCTCTTCTTTCAACTCTTCATATTCTTTCCCTTTTAACTCCAAAGTGCTTAGTATAGCTTTGAACTCGTTCTCTATCTTGCTTAACTTATCATTCAGTTGTTCAATGTGATGCTCCCTTTTCTTCAAAAGATCTTGTGAACAATCTCGCTGCTTTTCTAGATCGGCCACGGCAACCTTCAGTTTCTCTAACATAAAGGAGTTTTCTTGCTGATTTATTTTTTCTTGAAGATCTCTCAACATGATTTCTTGAGAGGCATTCTTAGCTATAAAAATTAAAAAGGTATACATATGTATATATATAGTCATTTTTTATAAATATCTGTTCTATAAGAATTCTAAATACTAGAGCTTTCAGTGTAGCTCAATGGCACAGTAGTTGCCTTGTAGGCATAAGGCCCTATGTTTCCTTCCTAGCACTACAAAAATAAAGGGAAAAAATTAAGAGCAAACTAATAAACTGACATGATGCCAGGCACTGGTGGCTCACCCCTGTATTCCTAGCTACTCAAGAGGCTGAGATCTGATGATCGTAGTTTGAAGCCAGCCCAGGGAAGGAAAATCCATGAGAATCTCATTTCCAATAAACTACTCAGAAAAAGCCAGAAGTGTAACTGCAGCTCAAGTGGTAGAGCACTAGCCTTGAGGAAAAGAAGCTCAAAGATAGTACCCCAGGCCAAGGTCAAGTTCAGGACTGGCACCAAAATAAAAAAAAAAAAAGTGACATTAGTTAGATTTGGTGGCATATGCCTATAATCCCAGTTTGGGGAGATTCTGTCTCATCTGCTTAGGAGGCTAAGCAAGAGGATCACGTAGACCATCCTGGGCAACATAGGAAGATCCTATCTCAATAAATAAAAATAAGGAAATTGGTCATAAAGAAGTAGGACATATATTCATGGGTCATATGTTTCAAAGTTAGAAAGAAATCCTAGATGTGCAAACACTAACATAATGGGGAGAAAAAGTTTATGTGTATGTATATATTACATACATATATAAATTTATATTTATAAAAATACATACATATATATGTATATGCACATCCAGATTTATATATATATATATATATATATATATATATATATATATATATATAAGTATGTATATATAAAGCACATATGACATAAACAATTTTAAAACAAATGTTGAATTTACTGGTACATTTTTTTTTTACTTTAAAATCAGGAAATTAAAGTCATTCAGTAAAGTCAGTCATCAAAATGCAATGGTCTTGGAAAACATGTCTTTAATCAGGTTTTTCCATTTTAGTGGAAACAGCAATGAGTGAGAACTGTATGGATGTTATGAACAGCACTGAAACCCAAAGAACAGCAGTCTGGGGTGAGACTCAGCACTCTTGATATAGCTTTGTGTGGGAAATAGTTACCCTTCTGTTTCAAAGTAGTAAGAGACATTCATTTGGAATTCAATTTGTTCCAATTTTTAGAAGTTCAATCATCATTGGAGAAACTCAACAGTGGGAGAGAAAAAACTTTCTCCACAGCAACTATAGGCATCTCTTTGGGTAAACATGTGAAAAAAAAAATTGAAAGAGGTTTCTCCAATGTCCTAAGCCATCCATCTGCCCTCACACTCTAGAGAACTAACTTTCACACCCTAAGTTCACTCACCTTTCATTTCCTCTGCAAAGTTCTGGCTCTGGTTTAAACACAGCTTGACTTTCCTGAGTTCTTCCTCCAGGTGGCAGACTTCTCTGGCCCTCTGCTCAGACTGACTCCTAAGGAGACCATTTTCCTTCTTCATTTCCTAGAATACATATTTTGCTGGTTATAATCAAAACAAATGTTCAAAGAGTTCAATACCTGAGTTAATAGGAGCCCTCAGCAGAGTTTCTGTCAGAGAAGAATCACATTTTCCCTTTAAGTGCCCAGTGAAGTTAGGCGTTCTTACTTGAATCAAATATTGGCCTGTGTAGAATCAAAACAAAGCAATCTTTTTTTCCTTCAAGAAACATTTCTTTGAACTGCTGGTTGTATGTATGTCTATTAAAGAATCAGTCTCATAGGAAAAGCCTATTTATAAGACCCTCAAAGACAAAAGCTCCAAAGTCTTATCAAAGATATCTTTGCAAAGAGTTGATATGTTTAAAAAACCAGAATATTTCCCCAACAACAAATCCTCAAAGAAACAACTGCCCAATAAATAAGAGGGCTTAAGACTTAAAGAGAAAGTTTTCTGAAGAGGAAAGAAGGATGGCCAATAGATGCATGAAGAAATGCTCAACCTCTCTAGCCATAAAAAAAATGCAAATCAAAACAACATTGAGATACCACCTCACCCCAGTTAAAATGGCTATAATCAAGAAATCTAATAACAACAGATGCTGGAGGGGATGGGGCCAGAAGGGAACCCTACTGCATTGTTGGTGGGAGTGTAAACTTGTTCAGCCACTTTGGAAAGTAGTATGGAGGTTCCTCAAAAGACTCCACATAGAGCTCCCCTATGACCCAGCAATCCCACTTTTGGGCATTTACCCTAATGATCACAAACAAGATTACATTAAAGCTATCAACACAACTATGTTTATTGCAGCATTATTTACTGTAACCAAGATGCCCCTCAGTAGATGAATGGATCAAGAAAATGTGGTATATATACACAATGGAATTCTATGCCTCCATCAGAAAGAATGACATTGCCCCATTTGTTAGGAAATGGAAAGACTTGGGAAAAAATTATATTAAGTGAAGTAAGCCAGGCCCAAAGAAACATAGGTCCCACGGTCTCCCTTATTTGCAATAACTAGTATATATCTGAGACAAGCAGAAAGGGTCAGATAAGATGGTGTTAGGTGAAATGAACCCCAAGATAAAGTGGTTTTTTTTCTTTCTTGCTATTGTTTCTAACATATTTATAAGGTGATTGTTTTGTTGCTTTGTATGTCTCTCTCCCACGGTATAACCCCTGTTTTCACTGTATTTGATGTTGGTATAATTTGGGGAGGGGGGGGAACAAATTGTTTAAATAGAGATACAGGTGGACCCATTGCAACAATGAGATATACAAGATGGTATATCAAAAAACAAACTTTACAACTTTGGTGGGGGTGGGGGTAGTCGTGGAGATGGGAGAGCAGGGATGGTAGGGGAAAAACAAAAGAGGAGGCAACAATGCTTGATAAGAAATGTACTTATTACCTTGCTCATGTAATTATAACCCCTCTGTACGGTATTTTCACAATAAAAACTTATTTTAAAAAAAGACTAAACATAAAAAAAACAATATTCACTGACATCACTTCCAAGTGATCTTAAAGTTCACTGTCAGAGGAATGTCTTTATGGGTAAAATTACCTTCAATAAATGCTTTCATCAAGAAAACCTACAAGATTCGACATTAGATTCAGTATTATGAAAAATGAAAATCCAAATAAGACATCTTCCTCCAGCAAGGGAATACATGCTAATATGAACAAAGTACTTAAGTCACACTGGTAATTGAAGATAAATGTCTCCTGGATTTGTTTGCATATGGTGGCTTCAAACTTCAGTCCTCAGATCTCAGCCTCTCGAGTACCTAGGAAAATAAGCCACCTGTGTCTGGCTTTGCATTTTTTATAAGTATCAGTGCACTGATACACAATAAATACTAATAGAAATAAACATATATGCAGTTCCATTCTCATATTTTGGAAGACCCCTAATCTTAGGACCAACCAATACTTAACGTGTCAAATAGAAATATTATTGCTTCCTAAACACCTGAGACTCAAACAATATACTTTATTTATATACTATGCTGTAAACATGTAGTAATTTTAATAATTGCTAAGTACCTCAACCTAAATGATGCACCATCCTCTGTCACATACAAACTGACAAAACCAGGGATCTTATACCCTTGAGAAGAAAAGAGATTCAGAAAGCTATTTTTTTTCTGTGTTTCAAAAAACACCAAAAATACCCTTCTGAGAAGTAGAAGGACATTTTTTGAATCTTAGAGAAACAATTAAGACCCATCCTCCAAAACCCTGCTGCACTGTTAGAAAACAGATGGCCCTGGCAAAGCTGTGTTGGAAGGCTGCCTTCAATTATCAGTCTGGTTACTACCAGCAGATGGGTATCGATGTAGCAAAGCCAAATTCAAGAAGAGGGGGAATCTGGCTAGTAGAAAGTACTTGAAAACTTGCTAGCAGCTGCTCTGTTCATGTATATACATTCACTTCATCATTAAAATGAGACAGGACCTGTTGTCAGTATAATACTCCTGTCTCCCGTGTTCTGATCCTGCCCTTCTACTAGGTAAGTGATGCTATATCAAGTCAAGGTATCAATCAGAATTCAAGGGCAGCTCCAATAGATTGGAAGAATGAGAAGTAGTCAAATGTGCAAAGAAAGACTGTGAAGGTGAAGCAATGTCCCTGATTTAGTCAGCATCATGAAATCAGGCTCGAAATAATCACCCATTTAATAAGGTTATAGATGAGAAAGATAGCATACCTTAAAGCACTTTGACAAAGGTAATAAAATATTAGGATTAGTGTTTCTTCCCCTCATTTAGCAACTGCAAGATCATAGCCATTGATGAGTGAGAAACTAGAAATGTAACCACCAATGTTGACTTTGCATTTTTGTTTCATAACTTTTAAAATATTTTTAGCCTATAAAACTCATGAAACTCCACCTACATCTGCAGGTTGGCCAAACAAGGCCAGAAAACAGTGCATGCAAGCATGGTCACATCCCAACATGATGGAAGGTTAAAGGGTGGACAGGGGCATTAAGAAAGCAGGAATATAATATATGTTTATGTGTCTGTTGGTCTCAATCTCTCTCCGTAACTGGAGACATTTAAATGAATAGTAAGCTCAATGGAAAGATTAGCCCTTCTCTTTTCTGGCAATAGCTCCATAAATATTCATTTCTAATGAAGAAATGTTCAGCCAATCCTGAGACCCAGCAGGCTTATAATACTACAGCTACAACCAACCCAAGAATTTTTAAAGGCCAGAATTTAGAAAATGAACATCTGAAAATGGATGTACAGGCTGCCATCCATCAGCAATTAGTTTTCCATGAGGCTCTAGCCACTTAAGACTTGATTGGGTAGCTCATCAAGCAACAATGAGTTAAGCATACAAGGATATATTCTCCTAGGCATCTCTCGCAACCTCACATGATTTGCAAAATTGGGCACTACCCTGGAAAAACACAACAAAAATCCTTAAAACCACAGCAGGCACTAGAGCTTAGCAAGCAATTCCACCCAGATCAACTTCGGTTTAAGAGCAGCAGGGGAAGCATCATTTCCTAGGGCCAGACAAAACAAATTCCAGCTAGTACATAGTATTTTGTGATCCCATCCGTAAGCATAGCTTAATATGTCCCCTGCTCGGGTGAAGGCTACATACGTGACTATAGAATGGAAGCAAAAGATGTGTTTTTCCCCCTTCCACTTCATCATTCTTGCCTGCCAGACTGAGCTCCTTGGAGAACCTGGTGTAATACAGATCCCTATGCTTGGAAAGGTCCCTAAGCAAGTGTTCCCTCATCCTGCCTGTCAAATGGTGGCATTTTATTGCCAAACCCCAGTTCAATGGAAGCTGGCACTACAGAGGTGGGTGAGCAGCTTATCTAAACTCTCCATACACATTGATACGAAATGTTACTTTATCCCTGATTGGGCCATTAAATCACATTTCAACACTGATAATTTCTCATTGTGAGCAGCATGTTAGTTTACTAAACACGGTCAAGGAAAATTTCAGTACAAATGTCATATTATTTCAGCATCCAAAACCTATAAGCGTGCTAAACTTGCTTTTACTTACTCACAATTAGACACAGAAAGACATCCAGATTGGTGGTTTAACAGGCAAAATTTTAAACAGGAAAAATCTCAAATGCACTGTGTTCTGGTCATGATCTTGTATATCTGCAAGTGATAGCTAACAACAAAAGTTATCAAGAGGCCTTAAAGTTGTGATGACAAACAACAACAACAAAAAAAAAAAAACAGCAAGCATGTGGACTTCAATAATTTACTGAGCATGTACATGCTAGACTCCAGGCCTAGTGACTTATAAATATACTCCTTCCTTCAAAGAAGGAGTATTATTTGTCTCTATGCAGATGCAGAAAGGTTTAAGTCATGGTCTCAAAGTCACATAGGATATAGGTGGCAGAAAAATAATACAAAATTCAGATTTACCTCCCTGTAAAGTCAGCATCGTTGTATCTAAGATACACTTCTCTGGTCCCAACCCCAATTCAAAGTTCAAGAAGAGCCAGCTAAACATTTTCACTTTTTTTCTTTCTTTCTTTCTTTTTTTGCAAATCCCGAGGCTTGAACTCTGGGCTTCGGTGCTGTCCCTGAGGTCCTTCTGTCCAAGGCTAACACTCTACCACCTGAGCCACAGTTCCACTTCTAGTTTTTTTCTGTACTTGGAGACCTTCCTGCCAAGGCCGACTTTGAATCATGATCCTCAGATCTCAGCCTCCTGAGTAGCTAGGATTAAGACATGAGCCACTGGTAACTGGCTTACATTTTCACTCTTATTATCAAATAAGACATAAACATGAACAAACATCAGGGCAAATCTCAGGCCATGTGCTAGCCACTTTCTACACAACTGCCCTCGTGAGACACAGAGACCAATGAAATCTAAATGAAACATGATACATTTGGAACTCAGGATAGACTGAAGACAGCCATACAGTAACCAAGTCAGACTGTGTGGGAATGAACATGTCTTCAAAAACACCTGCACAACAAAGTCCAACCCGCTATGATGAGTCTGCCCCACCAGCCACTGTAAAGGTGTTTGGACTCTCCTAACCAGATGATTGCTTTACAAAATGTTTCCACCAGGCAGCCAGTGGAGTCGCAGGAGAGTTCCTGGCTAAAAGGGATGCTCACAGAGGGAAGAGTTCCATGCCAGTCTGCCTGTGAAAATGTTAGCAGAAGCATCTGTTGGTTGGTCCCCACTGGCCAAAAGGCAAACATTTGTTTTTGCTGCAACACACATTTCCAATGGAAAACATTTATGGATGAAACCATCACCGGATGTGAAGGTTCTTCCACATGGTTTACAGAAGTCGACCTCCACCTCCCACGGCAGTGCCCCTTTGCAGCTGGCCAGCTGCTCCAGTAACTATCTCTTTGCTATGACAGCTATGACTTGTAATTTTTACAAGTGTAATACATGGTTTAAAGTGATAGTAATAAATTCAGCTAACTTTTATCATCTAGGTAAGGAATGATTTATTATAGGATTTATTTTTTCTCTTTCTTTTTGAACAGTCTAAAAAGTGATAGCAGAATGTTTAAAGAGTAAGTAGAAAAATGTTAAGAGTCTTCCACTCATCTTGTTATTCTTCTTCCAAAATTACAATGTTGACTATGGCTCTATTCATGCTGCTTCGGTCTATTAGTTATTCCTAAGTAGTTCTTAATTAAGCTGTTTAAAATAAAATTTAGGCCACTAACAAATTCAGAGAGAAGCCAAATCCAAGTCTGTAGGGATTAAATATCAGTAGGAATATGTGTTACTCCTCAGACACCCCTCCCAAACTCTTATCCACCATTGTGGAGAGTGAACATGACTCTTCAAGGACAGTACATACTTCTGAAGTCAGAGTAACACATTCTAGTTACCTGGCAGGGAGGAGAGTGGGGATGGGCATTGTTTTCAGTGCTGAGTATTGAGCCCAGTGCACCTCAATGCTAAGCACACATTCTACCACTAAGCTCTTCAAATTTAAAATTTTAACTCTATAAACTCTTCATCCATCATTATTTTTAAGTCTATGATTTTCCACAAGGTTTTGGGTTTTTTTTTGGTTGATCATGAGACATGAACTTGGAGCCTAGGCACTGTCCCTGAGCTTTTTGGCTCAAGGCTAGTGTTCTACCACTTTGAGCCATAGCTCCATTTCCTTTTCCAAGTGGTTAACTGGACGTAAGAGTCTCATAGACTTTCCTGCCAAGGCTGGCCTTGAACCACAATTCTCAGATCTTAGCCCCTTGAATAGCTACCATTATAAGCATGTACCACCAGTGCCTGGCTTCCACATACTGCATAATTCAAAAGCCAATTCTTACAAAAGGAATTTAAATCTTGGCTCACAGGATGTCTAGAATTCATTTCAACAGTTTTCTTTCTTTCCGTCTATCCAGAAAAAACCTTCCTTTCTTTCTTCTATACTTTCACAATTCAGGTAGTCTAAAATAATCTTTAAAAAGTGGTTATATATACCACTACTTGGAAGGTGGAGACTAGGAGGATCTAGGTTCAAGGTCAGCCAGGAAAAAGGGTTGGCAAGATCCCATCTCAACTAAAAAGCCGAGCATGGTGATACATACCCAACTCTACAGACAGTATAAAGAGAAGAATAATCATCCAGACCAACCCAGGGAAAAAGTCCAAGTCAATGCCACTGGCTCATGTCTAAAATTCTAGCTACTCAGAAGGATGAGATCTGAGGATCACAATTAGAAGCCAGCCTTGGCAGGAAAGTTTGTGAGACTGGAAGTAGAGCAGTGGCTTAAGTGGTAAAGTTCTATTCTTGAGAAAAAAAAAAAAAAACAAACTCATGGGCAGTGCCCAGAGTTTCAAGCCTCAGGGTTAGCACTAAAAGAATAATAATACCATATTTGAAAGACAACTAAAGCAAGAAGGGTTATGGGCATAGTTAAAGTCATAGAAAAATTGCCAGGTAGCTCAGAGTTCAAACCCCAGAACTGCCAGGAAAATAAAATTGATTAGATAGTCTTTATATACAGCATATTTTCCTATAATTATCAATTGCATAAATAATAAAACAAAGTAGAAAAATAGAACACATATTCTGTAACAGAAGCCATAAGCAGAAGATACTATAACACTGACTCCTGGAAAATAAGAAAGAAAAATACATGGTGGTCATGATACACAATTGCAAAACTCAGTCCTGCGTGTGCTGAGAATTGCTCAGCTCTCCTCCTTCCTCACCTCGCTGCTTTTCCTCAGCTCATCCTCTGTGATCTGACGCGCCTGGAGGGCCTGTTCGGTCCTGCTGAACTTCTGCTTAAACTCTTCCAAATTCTTTTCTAACTGTAGCTTGACTGATGTGACCTACAATGAGGAGTTAAGAGCAACATTTCATGTTTACATTCTTTACAAATAATCTTCTATTTTTTTAAAAAAACAACTAGACAGTAATCATGAACAAGCTGAGATTTTTAAAAAAGACTGGGAGAGCACAGTCACTATCCTTCAGGATCTCTTCCCCATACAGGAGACCAACAGGGAACTGCTTCCAGGATGCCCAAAGAAACCCACATCCTGACAACCCTGACACAGAATGTTGCAGTACAGGTATAGTACTGCAACACTATATTCAATATTGAATATCCTGCAGCATTGAAATACCAATAGCCCGTGTCTAACATAATGTACATAATGTGGAAATAGCTATCAAAGTGTATTGAGGGGGGAGTTATGACAATGAGTTTTTATGTGTATGGTATATTACAGGCAACATATAGCCATACACAATAAAAAAAAGTGGGGGGGTCAAGAAATAGAACCACAACATTTGAGACAAATGATGCAAATGGCTACTGAGAAAAATCACTAGCAGTCAAGGAAGTATGAATGAACACAATGATAAAATGGCATATTTTACTCCTTTGTTGAAATTTGAAAACTCAGGAGTACTTCTAGTTAGCAAGGATAGGAAAAAATCCTCTCTTCTAGCTGGTAGAAAAGTGTTAACAGCTTTTGTTCAAGGCAACCTGGCAATGTCTACCAGATGTTAGAATACAGATGACCTGTAAGACATTGATTTGACACCAGAAATCCACCCCATAGAAATACCAGTGCGAGCTGGGCACTGGTGACTCACACCTGTAATCCTAGCTACTCAGGAGGCTGAGATCTGAGGATCGAAGTTCAAAGCTAGCCCAGGCAGGAAAGTCCATGAAACTCTTATCTCTAATAAATCACCAGAAAACCGAAAGTGGCACTTTTGCTCAAGTGGTAGAACACTAGCCTTGAGCTGAAGAGCTGAAGGCCCAGAGTTCAAGCCCCACAACCAACAAAAAAAAAAAAGAAATACCAGTGCATGTGCATGCATGCATACACACATACACACACATACACCTGCCCAGTGACAGAACAAACCATGCATGTTACAGTAAGCAAGAACATCAGCAAAAGAATGATTGCAAAAATGACAAAGTATTCAGTAATCAGAGAATATCAAAAGAAAAACTCCTTATATTTAAAACATTAACAAAAAACTGCAATGATACTGCTGTGTGTTGCTGGGAACCAAACCCAGAACCATGTGCTCGCTAGGAAAGCACTCTGCCACTGAGCTGCATCAACTCCAATCTTACATGTGTGAATGTATTCTTTTAAAGGCTTTGGAGGAAAGATTGTTGATATTTTTTCCCCAAGAAGGGGATATTTTTGACCAAACTTGGACAGATGGAATGACAGACATAGCCCTAACCACTTCAGAGAGTTTACCATGTATACCAGATATAGATGCTCACTCTCCATTTCAGAGAAAACAACATAGCCCACTCCATGACAACTACGTTCTAATCTGTATTGTTCATAATAAAATCTACTGAAATGGAAAATTCTTCATTTTAGAAAACACTAAGAAAGTAAATGGAAGCAACAAGTGAGTATCTGTACTATCAAGGTAAACTCTGAAACAGACTACTTTATTCAACAGCCAAAAAACAGAGTAAATGACTGCTGCCACTTTAAAGCTATAGGTGTTCAGTACTGACATGCTGAGGATGAAGCAGTAAACAAAAAGATTCCAGTGGCACTCCACTGGAATGTTTATATCAGCACTGCTCACATAGCCAAGCTCGGACATCAGCCTCAGTGCACATCAACCAATAAATAGATAAAGGAAACCTGTTGCACAAATACACAATGGAATATTAGACATCCATGAACAAGAATGAAATTATGGAAAACAGGTAGAACTGGAGGTCATCAAGTGCAATTAGCCAAAAAGACAAATACTACATTTTTTTCTCATGGGTGAAATCCAGGCCTAAATAATTAAAAACTAGCAGAACATGAATGTAAAAGGCAGAGGGGGCAGAGGTGGGGGAAGAGATAAGCAGTCGAAGGACAAAAAGAGAAGATGACAGCAGGTAATTAAAGGTGATCAAAGTACTTTGTATGAATGTTATGAAAAAAGAAACATGAAACTCATTAAAATTGTAAAGAGAATGATGATTAAGAGTAATAGAGGGGATGCATTTGGTCAGAGGACATTATATACATATATGAACATATCACAGTGAGATCCTTTGGTATAAGACACATACATATACATATATATATATATATATGATCCTATATATACATATACATATATGCATGTATATAGGATCATATATGTATACATACATATGTCAATATATATGTATACATACATATATGATCCAATGATAAAATATTAACATTAAGATATCAGGCATTTTTGTACTATGGAGACAAAGTAAGCTAAAGAGAAGACAAAGCACTTGAGGTTGGAGACACATGCCATGGGGGAGGGCAGGGGAGGATAAGGTGACCTTGAGCAGAAAGCTCCAGGACATGAAGGAACACAGCCTCAAATCCACTGCGGGAAGAGCCTCTGGAAGTGGACGCAGCAAGCAATCTGGAGTGGGCATGTGCTTGGTGCAGCCAGAACAGAGCGCAGGAGGAGAGAGATGAACACTATGCATGAAGCAGCAGGAAGCCACCCAAGGTCAGGCCAACCTCAGCAAGACCTGACTTTGATCTGAGAAGTGACACCTCCTGATGTGCATGATAAAAGGCTCCCTCTGGGTACTGGCTGAAAACTTTGCTGTATGGAGATCAGGGGCCAGCACAGTTCTCAGGACAGTATAAGTGTGCTGCTCACAAGACTCCAAGCGGGAGTCACAGAACAAGAACTGTCATGATGAAAACTGACATGCAAAGCCAACAAACCTGAGTGAGATCACTTTTGGAGTCTTCATAAGCAAATGCATTATAATCATCAGACCTTTAACTATTTAGGGGCATAAATTACTTGGCGAAGTTTCCACCCAGTTGCATGACCCAGAACCAACAAAATATCAAGAGATACCCAGACAATGAGATGTGAAACCCTAATTCACCCCACACCCTGTTCTCTGAACAAGAAAACTGAACCAGAAAGTTTTGTTTGCTCTCCATTTTGATATGGAAGTGAGTATATAACACATTTTATCTAGATGCATTTTGATTCATGTGTGTAACCTAAAAAGAGGCATACAGACACTGAGAGCAGAATGATAGTAGCAGAGCCTAGGAGAATAAAGATAAAGAAAGAACAACCAGTACATCCTAACTTAGAGCCAGCAAGGAACAAAAGCTGATGAGCTAGTGAACAAGAATGATGACTACAAATAACAATGTGCTAAATTTGAAAAGTGTTCACTATAAAGAAATGTTAAATGATTAAGGTGATAATCACGCTTAAGCTGATTTAAATACCATACAATGTATACATGTATTGGGCATGGCATCCCGTTAATATGTCCAATTTAATGCACTGATAAAGGGAGGACTGGGAGGAAGTTAAGTTAGCACCCTACTTTATCCAGTTCTGCCTGAAGAACGTTGAGTGTGTTCTTGGCTTGCTGCAACTCCTGGGTTAATCTGGCTTTCATCTGAGTGCACTCTTGGTCCAACATTTGGAAAGATCGTTGCTGATGGGACAGCTCCTGAAAAGCAAAGGTCACACGTATCAAAGAATGGTTAACAGGCAGAACCTAAAACCAGACACAAGTAGCAGGGCAACATGGAAAGAGCAAGAGACAATAGGGAGCCAAGCTGGCCATGCACTGACTGACAAACACAATCAACCAGAGCATTACTCCTGGTAATCAAATCCATGTCCCAGAAGGGAAGGCAAAGGAGTCAGCCAACTGGCCATGTGGAAAACTCAGCCTATTTTCACCTCATCTCCAATCTTAAATTTATCATCTTTAATCTGAGGAGTTGAGGGTCAAAGAATTGAGCTACAATGACCACAATGTTCCTGAGAAATCAAACACCCAAAAATAGTGTTAAAATAATCAGAAACAACTCCAATAGTCTTCCCAGCGCTTCCACCCCCCCCTCCCCCCCCGTCGTGGGGCTTGAACTTTAGACCTAGGCACTGTCCCTCAGCTCTTCAGCTCAAGGCTAGCGCTCTACCACTTGAGCCACAGCACCATTTCCAGCTTTTTTTGTTTATATGGTGCTGAGGAATCAAACCTAGGGCCTCATGCAAGCAAGGCAAGCACTCACTCTACCACTGACCCACCTTCCCAGGCCTCCAATAGTCTTTAAGTTGAAAAGAATAGGAAGCAAATGCCACCAGTTAATTTTTGATTGCCCCAGGATACCAATAACATTCCTGGCTGCAGTTACTGGATATCTGAAAATAGCTCAGGTTACCACATCTAGAAGGACCACCCTGACAATGCCCAACAGCCTGCCTTCTACCCTGACTTCACACCTTTTTTCCTTGCCACACCCATTACCTTCGTAGTTCACTACTAACTCACTCTAGGGATACAGGGACAGCTGGAGAACGTTAGCCAGTTTCCCTCACTGCAGAGAAAGGGTCTGAAAGATGAAACAGGATCTGGTCCTACTCAGGATCAAATCAAGGCACAAGAGGAAACATGGATGAAAAGAGAAACTCTAAAAGGCCCCTCTCTGATCAGACCTGCAAGGTAACAATGCAGAAGGTGTGTGAAAGAGAACATAAAGTGACTTGTGCTCACTAAGCATCTTCTTCCAATAATATCCCAAACTGATTCAAAAGAAAAGATTTTTTTCCAAACGATCAAACTTTTTCAAAATGCCAGGTCCACAATAGCCTTTTTCAGACAAACCCATCTGCCTTACCTCTCGCAATTCCTTTTCTTTCTCCTTGATTTTCTGTTCCAGAGAGCATCTCATACTTTCTGCATTTTGTCGCTGACAACTCAGATCCTCAGTCAGTTTCTTCAGCTTTTGTTCCAACACAGTACACTAGCAATATATAAATATATTCCACATAAAATACAGTTAGGAAAGCTGCAAACATTTTATGTATCAAAAAAATCTTAGTCCCAACTTATCTTAAGTTTAAATCTGCTAACCAGAGACTAAAACCACTATCATTATTTTAATACATAGAACATTCACATTCAGGAAATATTACCAAGGATGGTAAGGATTAGTCCATTTAAATAGGCACTTCATAATGTGTGTTCTGAAAAAAGATACACAAAGTCTAATGACTGATTCAACACTGCTGTATAGCCAGGACAGATTATAAGGCAGTTAAGGCAGTAGTGATGAGTGAGTAACTTAGGGGACATAAAACAATCAGAAGATGTCCCTTACCTTCCAATAATAGGTTCAAGAATAATTAATTTCTATAGGAAAATGAAACTACCCCTTGGGCTCAAATGCTTAATCTAACCTTCTAAAACAATTCTAGAAACCCAAAGAGTAATAAGGAAACTTCATATTGGTAGGAGAAAATTCCCTACCCCAAAAGAAAGAAGCCCTGAGCAATTGTAGCTGCTAAAATAATTCTAAGAGATTCTTCATCACCTAGTTTAAAGGTATCAAATACAACTACTTAAAGATAATTAAAAACAAATGCTCAACTAATGAAATAGAAAGCTGGGAATATTTTTTAAAAGAAATTTAAGAATTCAGAAGAAGGTCTGGGAAAGTGGCCTGTAGAGTGCTTGCCTAGCATGCATGAAACCCTGGGTTTGATTCCTCAGTACCACATACACAGAAAAAGCCAGAAGTGGTGCTGTGGCTCAAGTGGTACAACACTAGCCTTAAGCTGAAGAGCTCAGGGACAGCACCCAGGCCCACAGCTCAAGCCCTACAACTGACAAAAACTGACAAAAAGAACTCAAGAAAAGAAAAGCACTACATAAGGAGCTATTGGAAAACCAGTCAGATATCCATTATTAACTAACCAAACATGAACAGTAACAAGCTAGTCAATAATGACCAATGATTTTAGAAATACCAGAACTATAAAAATACAAAATTAAAAGGATAAAAACTTGAACTAGTGGTTCAAATTAATCCACTGCTTTGAATATTAAGGCATTTATACCTTTATTGCTCTTGAGTTTGTAAATATCCAAGGAAGACTATTACAAAGATTACTTGTAATAACAATATGAATTCAACAAATAGTTATTAAGAGCCTACCATATATCATGAACTATTCTAGGCACTAGTGATAAAAGTACTAAACAACAAAAACCACTACCTAAATGATGGACCAATATAAATGATGGACCAATGTTTTGCTGGTTGAGAAAAATCTCAGGGAAAATCAAACATTCACCAAAGTAAATGAATGAACCCTTGGCGCCCTCAACTGGCATTTCTTCACAGTGCAAAACAATCTACTAAAATTAACAATCATTTCCTACAGGACAGGATAGATTTAAAATGATCTTTAGAAAGTACTTATTCAGATTTTTCTAACTGATATTCTGAGATCAACAATGCACCAACAGATGCCAGGAATGTTCTGCAAATAAAGGATCCAGAGCTAACTCAGTACAAATATGTACTATATGACTGTGAGTCTTGAGTGTTTTTCTGTGAAATGTAGGTGCCAAACTCCAGGTCTGCAGACAGAACAATGTTTCTCCATGTGAACTGCAGCCTTACCCCAAACATTGCTCTAAATACTTAGAAAAGACTCATACTGTAGGAACACCATAAGACATTAGCACCATATTATTTATTTAATTTTTTTTTTGGGGGGGGGTCCAGTCATGGGGCCTGAACTCTGGGCCTGGGCGCTGTCCCTCAGCTCTTCAGCTCAAGGATAGCGCTCTACCACTTGAGCAACAGTGCAACTTCCGGCTTTTTTTTCTTTGCTTATATGGTGCTGAGGAATCGAAACCAGGGCCTCAGGCATGCAAGGCAAGCGCTCTACCACTGAGCCACCTTCCCAGCTCCAGCACCATATTATTTAATAAGCAGTTCTAATGATAACAGGTCAAGAAACAGAATACACATAGCATAATTTGGTGTTATCAAAATAACTGACAGAGTTAAGAACAAAATGGAGATAGGTGAACTCAATTTGCAATTAGGTAGGTTTATGGCTGATGGGAGGAAAAAAAATCACAAAGCACTGCACAAATGAACCTGGAAGGAACCTTAAGTGATAGCATACTAGAGTTGTGGTCTCAACACCACCCTAAAAAAAAACAAAAAAAACTGTGATTGAAGATCTGACAAGAGACCTCATCACTAGATACAGCAAGGAATTGGTGTTCTTGTCTCACCGAAACAGCAAAGTACAAAATAAAGTGTTAAAGTAATTCTTACAGGAAGTCCTGGCTATGTAGAAAATTAAACTGAAAATTACCTTACATAAGAACTCAAGAGTAGATTGTGATAACAAATAGTATCATTATACATACACCATGTACTAGGCACAAAACTAAAGCCTTTTTAAATCTCATCTCAAGCTTTACAACAACCTTGGACACAAAGGCATTATTATTAACACAAATTTATCAGTTGGGCAACTGAGGCACACAAGTTAATTAAACAGCTCTAAGAGCAACAGAATTGGCATGTGGTAGAGCCAGGGCTCAAAGCCAAGTCCTTCTAATTGAAAAGACCAAAACACTACACAACCCACCCAGGCTGCATGGAGAGTAAGTACGTGCTGCCAAGGAGGTTCCAGGCCCACACATCCACGGCCACTTCTTCACACATCTCATCAGTGTATCAGGTTTCCTATGTAAGGTACTATAGGACATGGAAAAGTGAATCTGACTGTGGACATAATTTTACCTGTTCCTCCAACAAGAACATGGAAAACTATGAACAAAATTGGAACAAACATAAGAGGAGAGAGAAGGTAGCAGAAGGAAGCTCAGGACCAGATGATAAACACTACACCACAGGAAAAAAAACACAACTGTCAGCCCAGAATCCTATACACAGCAGAAATATCCTCAGGAATGAAGAGAAAACTTAAAAAAAAAAAAAAACCTCCAAGTGATGGTGAATTAAAAGAACCTGTGGCCAACAAAGCTATCCTAAAAGAATGGAACAGGAAGTTCTTTAAATAACTGGTTAAATAAAGAAGCTTGGCCTTAATTGAGTCTAAAGAAGATTCTAAGGCAGATGTATACTGACTACATCCCAAGAGTAGACTCATTAACTTCTTTCTTTTTAAAGCTCCATTAATCTAAGTCTGTTCCATGTGCTATATACTGTCACCCCTGAAAGTACAAATGGGAAACACACGACCAGAATCAATCCCAGATCCACTCAACTCTGGAGCAACTTACTAGTTTAGTAGCATCAACACTGCCAAGTATATACTAACAAAGATCATTTACTAATATTCATTTTATGAACTTAAGTATAAAGTACTCTTTCCAGAAGGGAGGGAAGGAAGAAGGATAAAGAGGGAAAAATTGAAATATATTATAAATGTGTGGAAATGTAACAAATCTATCCTTTCCCTCTCCCCACTCTCCAATATAATTAAGTAAGGTGATTTAAAAAAAAAAAACCATAAAACAACTCTTTCTAAAGAACTATATGAATAAACCTTTCTCATTTATGAAAAGTCCATTACCTTGTTTGCTGCCTGGTCATACTGTGCAGTAGTTCTCACTAGTTCATCCTTATTTTTGTTCAAAACTTTGTCTTTTTCAATTAATTCCATTTTTGCTTTTTCCAGCTGAAGTTGCAACTCTTGAAATTTATTCACTTGACCTTTCATTTCCTTCTCTTGTCCTTGCAGATGTAGCTCCAATTCATTAATCTTGCTTTTCAAATCTTAAACCACACACAAAAATCAGTCTGATTCATATATATATATATATATATATATATATATATATATATATGTTCAGAATTTATCCTTTTGCTTTGCAATCTTTGAATCATGTGCTCTATAATCTTTGATGAGAAGAATACAATTTACATTGAACCCATAAACAACTATTATGGAATACTATCTACTGCCATTTGTACTCAAATGCATGATAAAATAGCAGAAAAATATAGGAAAGGAAAGCTTTTCTAAAATTATAACCAGCTTCTTACAGATACTGCAAAAAGTACATCAGGCCCTTTGTTAAAAGTACTGCTTGTTTTTATCCTCTGGCAAGCTAGTATTTGATTTGTGCCTGTATCAATGTAAATTAGTGCTGAGCAGCAAAAAGCCCACCCTCCTCTATTCTCTGGTAGCTACCCCCAGTGAAGATCAAGACAGTGGGAGGCTCCTACACTGCCAAAATTAACAACCATTTTTTTTTTCCTACATACACACAATATTGATTCCAATGGTATTGGCAGAGGGACAGTTCTCCCTAGCAAACACTGACGATGACTTTCAATATATCACAGCACTGGAAATTATCATCATCTACAGAGTAGATTCCAAAACACCACCTGGTACACTTGGCTGCCAGCTGCAGCGTGGCCCAGCAACCAAGGTTACAGGTTTGCTCCCATATGGACAGCCTGGCAGTGCAGGGCAAAGCTGTTCCGCACACGCACCCACACACGCAGGCGCAGAGATATAAATACACACGCACACACACACACATGCACGCACACACGCATGCCACACCTCTGGCCAAAGCTGGTTAGACCACAAGCTTGGTTCATGGGCCACAAGGGGAGCCAGAGGAGAGGTGTGAAGAGTGCAGGCTATAACCAATCTAACTCGCTCTACTTCTGGAAAAATAAATCAAAGCTGTCCAGTGCACTTTAAAAGGCTCAGGGGACCAGGTTTTCAACACAAACAAAAAGTACCTTCCAAAATTGTGATGTTGTTTTGTCATTACCAAAAATGCAATTATTTCATATCCTAAGCATCTGGGAAGACGACCATACAATGTATCTAAACACCTAAGTATAACCCATGTCTAAAAATGTCAGGATGCTCCTCTAAAACTCTCATAGGAAAATGTAAATTTTACGTAGCACAAAGAAGTTTACCTTGATTTTGGGCTTTGAGTTGATCCAGAAGGAAAGTAGAATTATCACCAAAACTGCTATTAGCATCTCTTTTTCCTACATTCAGAGTTGATGTACTCGGAGTCACCTCTTCTTCCCCAAAAAAGCGAGACACAGACACATCTCTCCTCTTTGGAGTTTTTAGAGAAGCAGAAGAAAGCCGACTAGGTGTGGTCTCCTGCTGCCATGAGAACACGGAAGAGGAAGCCTGATGGCGAGCAATATCTCGGTAATTCATGGTGGTCTGCGGAGTGGCCTGGCTTACCTTCTGTAAAAATAAAGACTCTTTAAACCAATGGACATCTCAGTGAACATGATTATTTATTTTTAAAAAGCGGGCTGGGAAGGTGGCTCAGTGGTAGAGCGCTTGCCTTGCATGCCTGAGGCCCTGGGTTTGATTCCTCAGCACCACATAAGCAAAAAGAAAAAATCCGG